CCCCTCCCCCCCCATTCCCCACATCCACCCTTACCCCGTGCGTGCGAAGTTCCCCCAGTACCGCATGATCCTCCTGCTCAGCTCCACCTCCTCCCCAGTGTAATTTTTCTGTGGATCCAAAGGTTGTCCGAAAACGAATTCGATTTCATAACCGTGCGGGACCCCCATCCAGGACGGCCATAATAAAGTCGAGGCTCGATGATCGAAAAGATAAGCGTAAACTTTGCCCCCCCCCTGAGCCCAACGCTGGGCGAAGGCCATCAGGGGGCAAACGACGTTGTGATCCCCCACGATGTCGTCCAAAGCCTCCCTGTTTTTTATGGGGTTGTCGGCGTCCAACCAGTCGGTGTAATGCAGGATCACGGCTTCGGCCGCCAAATCGTTGGCTTGCGGGACCCCCATCCTCACCCCCCCTAAAAATTCTTCTCTGCTGATCAGGCTCTCGTTATCTTTCCCGAAACCCGGGACCCCGTAAACTAAGAAATAGGAACCTTCGTCTCTCACGGCCCCAAGGAGAACCTCCACCTCTTTGTGGGGTCCGGAGGACGGCTTGGCCCCATAAGAATCCGAGGAGCCCCTCACCCCATAGCCCTCCTTGGCCCCATAGCCCTCCTTGACCCCATAGCCCTCCTTGACCCCATAGCCCTCCTTGACCCCGTAACCATCCTTGACCCCGTAACCATCCTTGACCCCATAGCCCTCCTTGGCCCCATAACCATCGGGTGACGCCTCATCTCTGTGGGGCCTGGAGGACGTCTTGGCCCCATAAGAATCCGATGAACCCTTCACCCCATAACCTTCCTTCACCCCATAACCCTCCTTGACCCCATAACCCTCCTCCATCCCATAATCATCGAGTGACGCCTCGTCCCTTTGGGGTCTGGAAGCCATCTTCACCCCACCAGACAACCCACTGACCCCATAACCCTCAGCCCCATAACCTTCCCCGACCCCATAACCGCCCTCAACCCCTTCCTTCACCCCATAACCCTCAGCCCCAACCTCCTCCCTCCCTCCCCTGACCCCATAACCGACCCCATAACCGACCCCATAACCCTCAGCCTCATGACGCTCAACCCCGTGACCCCCAACCCCAAAACCTTCCACCCCATCCGTCCCCTCCT